ACTAATAAATAATACTGGCAAGGGTGAGGCAAGACGAGCCCAAGTTTTCAAAGGGGATTCAGATGTCATTCTGGCACATAAGGTGAGGGTCAGACAGGCAACAGGAGTAACAGCCAGGACAACGTGCCATTCAAAATAGCCGAGAAAGTTCCTTAATAATCCGCATGCTAGTGTTAGGATCATCAAGGATGCTTTAAAAAAAAATACATGGGCTTCCCTGGTGGCGCAGTGGACAAGAATCTGCCTGCCAATGCAGGGGACACGGGTTCGATCCCTGGTCCGGGAAGATCCACATGCCGCAGAGCAACTAAGCCCATGTAGGCGCTACTGAGCCTGTACTCTAGAGCCCGAGCTCCGCCGCTGCAATGAGAAGCCCGCGCACCGCAACGAAGAGTAATCCCTGCTCACCGCAACTAGAGAAAGCCTGCGTGCAGCAATGAAGACCCAACACAGCCAAAAAAAAAAATTTTTTTTTTAATTAAAAAAAAAATTAAAAAAAAATACAGATGGGGGAAGAGGCAGACCTAGAGACATTGATTTCATTAGTCTGGGGTGGAGGGTACAGGCAGTAGAGAGGAGGGGTCTGGACATGTATTTCTAAAATAATTCCCCAAGTAGTTTTACTGTAATTTGCTTCCAAAGGTTGAAAACCATTGGCCTAGACAGTGGTTCTCAGTCTATTTCTGGAGGAGTGGGAGGCAGAAAAGCCATCTAGGAAGCATTTCCCCATTGTCCCTGCTGCCCCCTCTGTCACCATCTTAGTGAAGGGGCTGTGCCTGTAGTTTGATTCTGATATTCCCACCGGGCCACGGAGAGCCACTGGTGGGGTGGAGCTCAACAGCCTGCATTAACATTCTTATTATGTAATATTAGATTCACACCAAAGAATAAGCATAACTTATGAGTAAGCTAAGTAGGATAATGATAAAAGACCCCCGTGACCCAAGTGAAATCCTAGACCTTTATTAACACAGTTGGTGTCACTGGCTCTCCTCCCTCCCCTCCTGCCCCTGCCTTCCCACAGGAGATAACCCCCTTCCTCCGTGGGGGCATTTTTAACAAGCAGGGCGTCCTGGCATCTCTGGAGACCAGGTTCTGGGCCTCTGGGAGGGAGGGGCCTGCAGGTTGGAGGCGTGGAGGAGGCGGGGAGGAGGATGGAGTGCCTGGGCTGTGAGCAAGGGGGGCAGAGGCAGGGGAGCCAGGCAGAGCGTGCCCCAGCCTCTAACAGAAGCAGAGGCGGGCAAAGCGTGTGTTAAAGAAGCGCTAGAGAAACCCCTTCAGACCCAGTACAATGGAGACCCAGATGCTCTCAGAAAAGCCAGGCTTTCAACGGTTTTGTTTTCCCAGCCCTGGCTGCTGCTGCCCAATTGACAGGCAGGCCATAGCTCAGGGGGTGCAGAGTTCAAGGCCCTTCGGATCTGTCAGACGGGAACAAAAAGGCGCAACTTGATCTCTCTTTCTCTATAGGCTAATCACAAGGGTGAGCTTTCCTTGGGGTTATTATTCTATTATAAACCCAGATGCTGAAAGCAGATCAACCGTTACCTTTCTTAGAAGGTGCAAAGTAGGTCAGCGGCAGTCTATCAGGGTACACAGCCTGGGCCTGAGTGCCACAGGCTGTGTGAGTAATTAAATCCACACATCCCTGACATCAGCAGTGCAACAGGAGAGCATTTTCTCTCCCCAGGAGATTGTCAGGAATTAGAGATAAGAGGAAGCCAAAATATCCAGCCGTAGGAGCAGCAACAGGGAGGAGCAATCCAGGAGTGGGGGGGACGGGGACGGGGCAGGAAGCCAGTTCTTGGGAGGCTGGGATGTCTGAGGCAGGACTCTGGGCAGGGTCTCCCAGAGGGGTCTGGGGAGGACTGCGTCAGGGGCTGTGTTATGAAATAGACGCTCAGTATGAGCTGCGGCACAAGGACAAGGTCCGATCTTACTTAGGGGGTGGATATAACAAAAGGTCAGTTTAGGTGACGTGAGCAGCCAGAGTGGCTTGGCGTTTATGGGCCTATAACTTGGGCCTGGCATGGATTGGGGGTGTCTGATCCTACAGGAACTGGGGGAGGTGGGACCCTTTAATCACACAGGGGTTTTTCTGTGTTTTTCCAGAGACAGCTGCTTCCATGGATGAGAAGCCTGGAAAAGATCAAAAGTTACCCACCACCTTGCACAAAGTTGCACGTGCAAAGGTCTTCATTCGCTGTAAAGAGCTGGAGGCTCTCAGGGGAAAACTCGTCACTCCTGGCTAATGAGGCCCCGGCAGATGACAATGTGGAAAATAAAACAAAGAAAGGCCAGCCTCCTCTCCCAGAGGCTGGTAGGCAGCATAGTGACAGTGTGGCATCCGACCCTGGACTAAAGATCTCCCAAGCGGGGAGAGTAACCGGCAAGCTACAATTTTTGGTGCAAGGCTGCACACTGCATACAATTTTTGGTGCACGCTGCAAAACGGACCCCAGCATGGACTGGTGTGGTAATCAGAGTTATGTTGGTGGTAAATACCGGGTCCTCTCTTACTCTCTTGCTGGGAGTATAAACTTACAACCAAACTGGAAAACAATGTGGGAGTCTCTCCCAGAGCTAAACATGTGTGTCTTCTATGACCCAGCAATCCCACTCCCAGGAATATGCCTCTAGAAACGTGCACACACGTTTACTAAAAGACATGGATGAGAACATTCAGAGCAACAGCATTTGTCATAGCCCCGAAGTAGCAACCACCCAAATGCCTGGTGACAGCAGAATGTCTAGGTACTCTGTGGGCTCTTGTACAGTAGAACACTATGAAGCAATGAAGTACAACATGCAACAACATGGCTGAATTTCACAAAAATAATGTTGAGCAAAGGAAGTCAATGCAAGGGTACAGGCTGCCTGATTTCATTTACATAAAGCAAACAGTCAAAACCTATGGTGAATATGCTGAAAACCACCCGCTTCTGCACTTTAAAGAGGCAAATTGTATGGAGTGTGAGTTATACCTCCATTAAGCTGTTACTTTTTAAAAACTATGGTATTAGAACTCAGGATAGCTGTTATCGTTGGTGAGGAGTAGTGACTAGGAGGGGGCACAAGGGGGGCTTCTGGGTGCTGGCAATGTTTGGTTTCTCAGTTTGGGTGCTGGTTACAAGGGTGTGTTCAGTTGTGATGATTCTGTGTACCTTAGAACCTGTGCGCTTCTCTGTATGTATGCTGTACTTCAATAAAAATAACCACAAATGAAGCAGGCCTGGCCTGGCCGGGCTCAAGTGCATGGGGATGGTGAGCCGGATGTGCTCACTCTCTTCAGAAAGGCCCCGACTGCCACCAGAGTCCCCCCAAGAGGACCCTGCAAGAGTTTATGAGGATGGGGCTCCCCATTCATTAGTGAAGCCTCATCTGCAGGGCCCTGGAGTAATTCTCAGAGGAGAAAGTAGGGCAGGTCCACCAATCACTTCTATTCCCAGGGCTTGGCTCAAGCGGGCAGGTGTGGCCTGGGATGCCAGAGTATTCAGCAGGCCTGGCGGCATCCTTGCCTCAGCAGAGGCTGGGCCATGGCTACTGTGACTCCTCACAGCTCAGCCTTCCGGGGGTCTGATCTGTTGCGTCTGGACTGGGAAGGAGGCATATCCTCAGGGAGACCTTAAGGGACATCTGCCTGAGCTGGGCCAGCCTCTGCCTGCCTGTAGCCCCAGCCAGGCTCTTCAGGGTGGGTTTGGGGAGCCTTATCAGTTGCTGCCTAATAGCCGGAGCACTGGAGCCCCCAGGAAGATGGATCCCAGGGGGAGTGCACTGAGCATGGGAGAGGGGCTCCCTGAGAACCCCAAGTAGAACAGAGGTGAGATTTTAAGGTACAGGGCCAATGGGGATTTGAGGCAGTGGGCCAAAGTAGGACATAGGACTGCTGCCACTGGTGGACTCCTTTCACCCAGGGGGCATTAGAGGCCAAGTCCTTTATAAATCAGACAGTGCAGAGGGCTGCTGCCAGGGCCAGGGACTTCTGACCCTCAAGATGCTGATTCAACTCTGCATTTGCAAAAAGTCTTCCAAGATGAATCTGATGCACAGCTGGATGTAGAGACAGCATGGATAAGTATCAATCACTTATTCAGTCAACAAACAATTGCTGGCCAGCTACTCTCATTCCAGGTCAAGGCCAGGTTCTGGGAAAGCAGAAGAATACAGTCAGGTCTTGCCCTTAAGGAGCCCATAGTCTGGTGTCCAGGGAGAGGCCTGCATATTACAGATAATTACAGCACACAGGGATGACAGCAATGACAGGATTCTGGAGCACAGAGAAAGGGTGAAAGAACCTACTTGTGACTCTTTTGGCGAAACATAATTTCCTCCTGATTCATTTGTTTCACAGGTCTGAATTTTTGTATTTTGCATTTAGGGACATAAAGTAGCTCAGGCCCAGCTCAGTAATTCTTAAATATTGTCCATGATAATTCACTCTGAAAAGAGGGCCTACCACCAGTATCTTTCAAGCTGTTTTTAAAAAGAACGAGCTAGGAAAGATAATAAAAGATAGTTAACTATGTCTGTTTCATAATTCTACCATTAAAATCATCTAGAATAGGCATATCTATTTTTCACAATTTTGGGGAAATTAATTTAGCTTATCATACATAAAGCAGTCCCTCAGACCTACCCCCGCCACACACACACCTCCTGCCCCACGCATGCACAATAAGAAACTCCAGCTATTCTCCTCTTCCTCTAGGTCTGTACTACATGACATAAAAATATAAAAATAAAATCAGTTCCTGGCCTGGGTGCCTCAGTAAGTGATGCGATCAGCAAAATAGGCTTAAATGCCTCCTTTTCCATAATCATAGAAAGCTATGACATTTAGCCTGAAATTTCCTATTTTAGTTGCCACAGCGGCCCCTTCAAGAGCACCCTTCTCCTTTGAGCGATACAGCAGGAGCACCCTGTTCATGTGGATCTAGTCCAGAGCAGCCCCAGAAACAGAGGAAACCACCGAGGAAGGCACTTTCCCCAAACAGAAGCTTTACCTTGGTCCCGTGGTAGAAGTCGTCCACGCATGTGGCGTTCATGAAGGTCTGGTGGAAGTGGGTGCTGGTGTCGATGCCTCCAGGGATCACCAGTTTCCCAGTGGCATCAATCACCTTGGCCCCTCCGGGGATCATGAGCTCACGGCCCACCTGCTGGATGATGCCATTCTCAATGTAGACATCAGCCTCGTGGGTGCAGTCATCGTTCACAACCTTGCCTCCCTTGATGAGAATCCGCACACTGGCTGAATTGGCAAGCATGTTCCTGTGAAAGGGGAGAGGGGGCACTGGTCAAGGTCCAAATTCCTTTTCACTGTCACCAAGGTCCCACCCTTTCCTGTGAGAGCCCAAACTCCATGGGCAGAGTACGTGAGCAGGGATGGGGAGGAAGTTTCTCCACAGCCCGAGGACACTGGTCCTATAGCCAGCTGGGGCCACAAGCCTCCCACTGACCTCCCAGCAGGACTCATTGGGAATCATGACAACACAGCAGTCAGGGTGAAGCTGGGGCCCAAAGAAACATCAATTTTCACCTTCTCAAGAAGTTGTGGTGGTTCTAAAGCATTTTCATATCTCTTGTCTCATTTTATTGCTAAAACAACCCAAGAAGTGGCATTTTACAGATGAGAAAACTGAAATTGCTAATAATGAATTTATGGCTACTAAGTAGCCAAGTCAAACCCAGACGTCTTGTAGGACCAGTGTCCCCACTATACCGTATGGTCCTGAAGATGTCAGAGGCTCCTGGGATGTGTCTCAGAGAGCCAGATTCTCCAAGCCTCACAGCTGCTTAATTCATGTCATTCTTCAGATGGATTCTGATTCAGTTCACCCTCCTATGTTTGTCTCAAGAAGTCCACGACCTCACTGCAGCGCCACAGCTGGCTGCACATTGACAAGCTCATCTGATACGCTCAAGCCCCACCCGCAAGGTTCAGCTTTATTTGGTCCAGACTGCATCCCCAGAATCAACTTTTCAAAAGCCATAGAACTCTACCATACACTTAAAGAGGAAGTAACCCCAATCTCTTCCAGAAAATAGAGAAGGAAACCTTCCCAAGTCAGTTTATGAAGTCAATACTGCCCTGATACCAAAGATAGAGAAAGACAGTACAGAAACAACAACAACAACAACAAAAAAACTATAAAGTAATATCCCTCATGAATGTAGGTACAAAAATTTCTAACGAAATATCAGCAAACAGAATTCAGCAATATGTAAAAGAATGAAAGAATCCCACTATGCAAATGGAATTACTTCCAGGGATGCAAAGCTTGCTCAATATTTGAAAATCAATCAATGTAATCCACCATATTAACAGGCTAAAGAAGAAAAAAATCACATAGTCATATAAATTGATGCAGAAAAAGCACTGGACAAAATTCAACACCCATTCATGATAAAAAACTCTCAGGAAAATAGGAAAAGAAGTTAACTTCCTCAAGTTGATAAAGAACATCACCAGGGACTTCCCTGGTGGTGCAGTGCTTCAGAATCCGCCTGCCAATGCAGGGGATATGGGTTCGACCTCCGGTCCAGGAAGATCCCACATGCCACGTGCTGCAACTACTGAAGCCTGTGCACCTAGAGCCCGTGCTCCCCAACAAGAGAAGCCACTGAAATGCAAAGCCTGTGCACTGTAACGAAGAGTAACCCTTGCTCAGTGCAACTAGAGAAAGCCCACACACAGCAATGAAGACCCAACACAGCCAAAAATAAATAAATAAAAAAATTAAAGAACATCACCAAAAAACCTACAGCTAATATCAGAATTTATGAAAGACTGAATACTTTCCCCCTAAACTGAGAATAAGGCAAGGATGTCTACTCTCACCACTGTTATTCAACAAAGGGAGTTTTAGCTAGCACTAATGAAATAAAAGGCATATAGACTGAAAAGGGAAAAATAAAACCATTCTTATTTGCAGGTGACGTGATGGGGGCTATGCAGAAAATCTCAAAGAATCTACAAAAAATCTCTTAGAACAAATGTCAGTTCAGTAAGGTCACAAGGTACAAGATCAACAAAAAGCTATTGTTTTTCTATATACTAGCGATGAACAAATGGACACACAAAAAAATTGAAATACTTAGGTAGAAATCTAAGAAAACATACAGGATTTGTATGCTGAAAACTACAAAATGCTGATGAAAGAAACCAAAGAAATAAATAAGTGGAGAGACATACAATGTTCATGGATTGGAAGACCCAGCATAGTAAAGATGTCAATTCTCCCCTAATTGATATATACGTTTAATGCAGGTTGATTCGGCGACTATCTTGACCATTCAGTATCTGAACAGAAATGATTTTTACTTAGGCTTAGAAAATATAGGACACAATCTGACCGGGGGAGGGAGACTACACCACTGCAGTATCTCTGTGGGCTTAATAAAGCCCACCTTTCTACATGGTAAACTTATTCTTCAGGATCCAATCAATTGTTCCCTCTTCTGAGAAGCCTTCCCCAACTCCCTCTGTACCTTCATGAGGCACTGGAGTCTATCTCCACCTCTGGACTAAGTCCTCAAAGTCAAAGGCGTAGCAGCAAACATCGTTTCTGCCTGGTCCTCATCCCCAGCATCCAGTATAGGAAACTCAAAACTCTTCACAAATGAACAGTTTTGGCTGCATCTACTTGTTGCACCCTGACAATCAAATGGTTTAAAGCAACAAGCGGTAGGCCAATTCCATATTTGTTGCCCAGGACATTTGGCAACTCTATGTCCAGGATAATGCTCAACTTTCATCCCTTTTCCAATACAGCACATCACTGTGAACAGAGCAAAGGAAGCGACATACTATCTCTCATCCTCGTCATTTCATTTTGCCTGCCACTAGGCAAAGTACAGGAAGCCTTTGTCCCAGGATGAAAAGGTCTCACAATCCATTGAAGGAATAGCTCTTGTAAGGAAATAAGTCAACTATCTGGAGAGCTTAGCCTGCTCTCCTGGACACACTTGGTTAGGCAGTTGCTTTTTTGCTTTTTGTTTTTTTTGTCAAGTTGACCAGATTGGAGTGCATGGAATCTCCACACCAAGAGAGTTTACAGTACTTTTTCAGCCTCAACTGCCAAGTCCTCCTGCTGTCAGGAGAGGGTGGTCTGCTGGGGGCAGTGTTGGGAAACAAGACAGGTGGCTGGGAGTGAACGCTGTTCCCTTACACAGCAACATTGTCCTCCATGAACATCTGGTCCCTGCCAGGTATCATTCTGACCTTTGGGGAGGAGGGGTCCCTCCCCTAGGGTGGAAGGCCCTGGGCAGAGGCAGTGGGGAGGAGTTGGGTAGGCCAGAAGGATGGGGGGACAGGTACAGTCACAGCAATGAGCCCATTGTCTGAAGCTGGAATGAAGCTGACATATTTCAGGGGAACTTTTGTCCTAAAATCTGAAAACTGGAATTTTAATTTAATACACAATAATCAGGAAATGAGTTTGGTTCTTAAGTGATGGACAAAACCATTCTGGCCAAAGGAAGTCCAGAAAGCCTCAGAGATGCAGTCTCTCTCTCTCTCTCTCTCATTACAAAGCCAAGGCCAGGTGTGACCACAAAAGGAGAGATGCAAGTTCTCAAAGGGAAATGATGGTAAGACACACACAATCCTCTGTGCAAATATATAATCCTCACCTTTTAAAGCAGCTTTAAGTAAAAGGAGAAATAGGAATATTTATGCTGGGAAATTGCTGCATAGTCATTATGTCAGTGTGGTAAATGAGGATATTGATTTGCTTATTAATCCAGAACACATGCTCATAGCACACACCTGGAGGGCAGAGACCCTGAAAGGGTGATATGATAATGATTTATGGGGGATTCTTATCTAAGCTTTGATGCTGGAATCATAAGCCAAGGGTGTTTTCTTCAGTAGAAATAAGAAAACAGCTTTTAGTAAGCTAACACCCTGTGCCTGGAATTTAATTCACATGGCAGCCCCGAGAAGTAGGAACAAGGCAGGAAGTATTAGCCTCATTTTAAGATGAGGAAGTAGAGGTTTTGAAAATAACAGGTAGGGACTTCCCTGGTGGCTCAGTGGGTAAGACTCTGAGCTCCCAATTCAGGGGGCCCGGGTTTGATCCCTAGTCAGGGAACTAGATCCCACATGCATGCGGCAATTAAGAGTTTGCATGCCACAACTAAGGAGCCCAAGTGCTGCAACTAAGGAGCTGGCGAGCCTCAACTAAGGAGCCAGCCTGCTGCAACTAAGACCCGGAGCAACCAAATAAATAAATACTAAAAAAAAAAAAAAGTCTACCTTAAAAAAAAAAGAAAAGAACAGGTATCCCATTAAAGGTCACACCACTCCAGCATGGAAGGATGGGCTTCATACCCAGGTCTGTGACTTAAAGGAAAGGTTACCAAAGTTAACTCTGGGTAGAAGAGTTTCAGGTGATTTTTATGTTCTTGATAGTTTTCTATATTTTTCAAATTTTATACAATAAACTTGTATTACCTTTTAGAATCTGGAAAGTTGTGTCAAGAAGGTTTTTTTGGGGCTTCCCTGGTGGCGCAGTGGTTGAGAGTCCGCCTGCTGATGCAGGGGACGTGGGTTCGTGCCCCGGTCCGGGAAGATCCCACATGCCGCGGAGCGGCTGGGCCCGTGAGCCATGGCCGCTGAGCCTGCACGTCCGGAGCCTGTGCTCCGCAACGGGAGAGGCCACAACAGCGAGAGGCCCACGTACCGCATAAAAAAAGGTTTTTGTTGTTGTTGTTGTTGTTGTTCTTTTTAAGCTACAAAGAAGGCAGAAGGAATCCAATGTGACCCTTCATTCAGGTCCAGTGAGCTCAGTCCCTCCCTCTGCCACTCTCCATGCAAGGAGATGAAAAAAGAACCTGCTACCACCAGCCATAACACTGAATCCTTCTCTAGAACCCTTGGGCTGCCACCATGACTCACCCAGTTGTTTTCCACTTCCTTGTTGGAAATCCCTGAAGGCTAACCAGGCTCTGAAAAGGCTGGGCTCCCTCAACAATACTGGGGAGTCCTGGAACCTCTCTGGTCTGGAGATCCCATTCACACAGCCTGACCTAGTCCTGGAAATCCAGGCTGGACTGGACTCCCAGGACTACCTTAGAGGGAACTCATTCTCAGAACTTGGAGGGTGCTGTTAATGATCTTAACAATTACTAAACACCTTCTGTATAATGGGCCCCTCCCTAAGCCCATCAGATACATCATCTTATTTGATCTTTACAGTACCCTGAGATAGGTACCATTATTGTCCCCAGTTTTACCATGAGGAAGCTGATGCTCAGAAAAGTT